AAGTTAATTGAGTGTTTTCTTACCGAAACTAATTAGTAACAAAATTTATATATATATATATATATATATATATATATCAAAAACGATAACCAACACCGATTTTTAATAAAACAGATGTTGTGATAGAGTAATATGATGATTTTCATAATTTACTTAGCAATATATATATTTGATATATATTCAAAACAAGCTTTCTGCTATTAAAAGTATCTTGTTTATTCCTCAAGTTTCCCGAAATAATAATTCGGTACTTCGTTATTTTTTGCATATTATCAGCATTTCAATCTCACTAGAATAATTATCTGTCAGTGTACGCAGAAGAGTCTGGCTCTGTTTTTCCAATCAGGTTATTTTAGTGAAGCAGGGAAGGATTAAAGAAGCTTTGGCGCTTTCAGAATTTGCTAGGGGAAGAGCTATTACGGATGTCATAAGGGACAACTCGCTGAAAAATCTGAAAGATTCACCATCTTCGTGGTTGTGGAGAGACGACATCATTCTCAAGTATGATTGTATTTTCGTGTTGTTTTAGTGGCTTTTAAGTTAGATAAGTTGATGAATATTGGTGAATCGGGAATTATCTACTAAAGCTTAGTTAACATTTTAACGCGTTTGTTTAACAACGAAGAAAATATATTTAAATAGGTTGATATAAATACCTCTATTAATCTTGTTGGTGAACATATTTGAACAAAAACAATTAGGTTTTCTTATTTTATTCCATTTTTCGGAATGCCTTCATCAAGTAGACCTATTCTTAATCTTTTTGTTTTAGCTTAAGACCCTATTCAAAATTCTTTACAATCTCAGTCTATTTAATTTTATTACAGGAAAGTTGTTTAAAGGTATATCGCATTATTATTTTAAATTCAAAATATAAACGCTTATTGAAAATTAATTTCTGAATCCAAATCCAAACCTGTAATATTTTATATTTTCATGTGAGATAACAAATTTTTTTTTTTAATGTTTTGTTAAGTTCATGTATACAAAATACAAAATCTATGTTTCCACGTACAGGGGTGGGGGTGGGGACAATAACAACGTACCTGGAGCACCTATACATTCGAAGTTAAGATGACAGACATGTGGTCGGTTATATCACTATGCATAATAGTCAAATAACGTTCTTAATATTTTTTCAACACAAATTGATTTTAAAAACCAAGATTTAAGTAGTTCTATCTATTCATAGTCCAGTTTCTTTCCTCTAGAATAGTCATTAAAATAGCATTAACTTATCGTTATAAATAGGGTATTTTATAATACTGTAAATGTAATATTGAGCTCGATTTGTGCGTTTATTATATATTTGTTTTCTTTTTATTTCCAGAACTGAGATGAGAGAAGAATTGGTTAACGACATCATTCAAGACTTTTATTCAACTGCAGACTTGCTAAACTCCAGCTTTTTGGTGTACTCTGTTGTTAAGAGTTACACCCCCGACAGAAAGCCAGAGAAGATGTTGTATATCTGGGTCATCAAATGTTCTGCGCATGTGCAGGAAGGAGAAGATAGAATCGGGTTTGCAAGTGTACAACTGAAAGAAGAAAATTTTGACAGTAAACTTGTAGAGGACAACAAATTTTTTTCAAGTTTATGTCGTTCCTTTGCATATGTGAATCTGTCAAATGATGGTACGGTGTTTCCGCCATTTTTTTTACTTAATTATTTTTAAAGATAATTTTAAAATTATAAAGATTATGTTTAAAACTATACATTTCAATCCAAAACTTTGGGATCAGTTAATAGTACGTAACGTTCTTTTTTAATTGTTATAATGATTCGACGTTTAGTAACCAATTAATGCGTAGAGAAGTTTTAAAGTTTATATAACATCCGACACTTAGAAACCATCCAGTATTCAATATAAATATCATAACTTGATGCAATAACCGAACACTTAAGGACCAACTAGTATGACAAAGTTTAAAACTTAGTATGACAATCCGAAGTGGTTAGAGCGCTTGACTCGCAATCTGAGGGACGCGTGTTCGAATCCCCGTCCCACCAAACGTTATATTGTTACGGTCAATGTTACGTTAGTAAAAGAGTAGCCCTAAAGTTGGCGGTGGGTAAAGGAGGTGAGCATATTTGGTGACGAGAATTCGAACCCGCGGATTGCGAGTCGATCATCCAAGACTTTAGAACCAGCTTAAATAAACACGTAGTTTATCATTGACTAAAATGTTAAAGTTACACAAATTGTTACTAGTGCAAGATTCAACGGTAATGGTACACGGGTCTGTCTATTGTCAGAGCTATTACGTCTTACTAAAAACGTGAAGTGTAGAGAGTTCTGTCGGTGTCAAACTAGATGTGAAAATTTGCTATCATTCTCACATTTGCAACATTTTTTCTGTAGTTTTACACTTTCACCACTTTATGCTATGCGACTCTATTAACACATACCACGTCATATTAAGAATTTGTTTTTTTTCAAGTTGAAATTTGTTTTTGTTTTTATGTCACATGCTATTTACAGTGTACAAAAGGACGCATACACCACGCGTTAGTCAATGCTTTGGTCTTTCTTTGATAAGTAGGGATAAATATTTATTTTAAATATATTAGTTTTATTTTATCGAGTAATATCGATATTACCAATAAAAATATCTGTGTGTGAATTTACATATCTTGTTAGTTTTATCGTTTCACTGCTGGCTGGAAGAACGTTTATATTGAATCATTTAGTTTGTTCAGCTTGTTAAGTGACAGAAATATTCAGTATTATTGTTCCACCACTTGAGTTAAAACGGAGTTCGAATATTTGATTGTAGTTTTGTGGAAAAGCCTCGAGCTTTATTGACAATCATTAGGATAACTACCCGCTAAACACACGCGAGGTACCAACTACAACTATTTATGTAAGATATTGATTCAAAGCTCAACAAATCTCAATACATCATATGTTTCGTACATCAAAACTTTATATTGGTCATTAATATGAGCCAATCATAAGATTACTGTTGCCTTGGGCAAATGTGAAACTTAAAGCATGTTTGGGTACGAAGGCACACAGAATATGATTAATTTCATATTTTACGTTTCCTAGTTTTCGAAGTGTTTTTCCAGTAGGTATTTATTTGCAGAAGTCCCCAAAACACTTGACTATTATTGTATTATCAGTTTCATGCTGCCGAGTGCCTGAAGTTGTTTCCAAAATACTCGAAAGGAAAATGAGTAGACTTTAAAACTGATATATCTGAACTTTATGAAAAGTCTCTTGAAATACATTTCTTATAGATAAAAATCTATTGATTTTTATCAGTTTTCCTCCATGTATAAAAATAGCTTAAAATCGCATTTAATAGAGCTAGAACGTTTTTTATATCGTACTTTAATGATAGTTTTCACTATTGATCATGAGTTGTAATGAAAACGAACCTTTTGAGCGTTAACTCGCTTTGTTAAATTTTATTGACACTTTGATGTTCAATGTTGTTAACAGAAATTCTCAGACCGTTAGTCTCGGAAAAAAACACAGATACAATTACCCAAGAAGAACCAGAAGACGTTGACGACGTGATCCCAGACTTTCCTGACACGAAAAGCGCTAAACACTTTGTTAGTTTGCTGAATGCACTCAAGCTAGATCAGAAGGAAACAGGCCGTGAAGAAGGAAGAAGTAAAGATAAATCTACTGAAAGTAGACGAGGAACGGAACTTTCAAAGGATGGGGTTTTAGAAGACAACAGTTCTTCCAAACCCAACGAGAAAATGTCTGAAATTGTAAGTATTCTTCTGAGAAGCAGTCATTGAGGGTGAAACGATTACACTAAACAGTGCTTGATGACTGGTCGATGCAGATGTAATTTCACATGTAATTATTCTTTTTCCATCACATTTCCTTTATTTTAATTCTGTGCGAACGAAATAAATATGTGTATTTCTGGATACCTCTTGTTTCTCCTTGAGAAATTAGCACAATCTAACAAAAATCTATGATTTTACACCATTTTTGTTGTTGTGAAGACTGATGCAGGAGCTGCATCTATTGTTTGTTTGTTTGAAGTTATGTACAAAGCTGCACAATGGGCTATCTGTGCTTTGCCCACCACGGGTGTCGAAACCCGGTTTCTAGCGTTCAGGGATAAAACATCTGTCTAGAAGACAACTATTTTTGGTGTTTTATCAATGCATTACTTTTTGAACTCTCTCCAACTTCCACGGTGTTAATTTTTAAGTATTAAAATACGTACTGAAATCTTTTGCATTACTATTTTAATTATACAATACTTTAACATATTTAAATAGATGAGACACAGATCATAACACAGTGAGAAATTGAACAACAGTGGAGGAGTACACAAGTTCAAAATAAGTTAAAAATTAATTAGAACAGGTCGTAACGCTGTTGGTCGGTAACGCAGCAATGAGGTAAGTAATCATTTGGGTGAAAAGAACGAGGTTAGTTATTATTAGGAAACAAACTTTCTTAGTGCATCAACGAACTAGATATGAATCACACGAAAGTAGTTCTTACCAAACATCATTGTGAAACTGAATAAGCATTTTGGATACACACTTCAGCATTCAGCAATCGAATAAACTTTGCAGATAGAATGAATATTACAGCTACATATTAAATATTATAGCTACATAAACTGTTAACGAAGCTAGAAACTCGGTAGACTTTACAAATATACAAACGTTGACAAGCTAGGTGATGAGTGTATATTATAGCTAAAGAAACTCTTCACAAAGGTATGGATGGAACATTTTTACAAATACACATAATTATAGCATTTACTGAAAACTTTCTAATTAAGTTAGTGGCAGGAAGTTCTGGGGGCAGAAGGTGCTACGTATGATGTATTCGGACAAAGAAACCATCAAGCAGACTGAATAAGTGAGTGTGAGTTCTAAGTGGGCAGGCCATGGCCCACCCAGGCTCTACCCGTGGCTACGCCATTGAGTTATGTCGTCCGATATACTATGTAATTACTTTCATAAGATCATATTCAGTTGTTAAGAGTTCGTTTAAAGCATAAATATCTTTCCTTTTTCTTAGAGCCATGCATGGCCAGGTGGTTAGGGCGCCCGACTCGCAATCTGAGGGTCGCGTGTTCGAATTTTCGTCACACCAAACATGCTTGCCTTTCAGCCGTAGGGGCGTTATAATGTGCAGTCAATCCCACTATTTGTTGGTAAAAGAATAACCCAAGAGTTGGCAGTGGGTGGTGATGACTAGCTGCCTTCCCTCTAGTCTTGCACTGCTAAATTAGGGACGGCTAGCGCAGATAGCCCTCGTGTAGTTTAACGCGAAATTCAAAACAAAAAATATAATTAATAAGTTATACACCTTTGAAATTAAATACACTTGAAATATGTTGTCTGAAAATGCAGCGTTGTATTTGAATTTCTAAAAGCCCTGTCTAATTTTTCAAGGGATTCAGATGAATTTATATGTCAACAAGCTCTATTTGTAGTGAGGTTGAATATACGTTTCTTCATTAAAAAAGAAAGTATTGGTAGTATGATTCAAAGAGGATGTGCACACACGTGGGTAAGATGACGTTTAGTAAATATTTATTCTTCATTATTAATAGTAGGTTTTTTACCAGACTATTTCATAACTGTTCTTCTCCAGCTCCAGCTGAGGTGTTGATCACAGGAAGAATTGTTCAACAATTTGTATATTTCTGCAAGTTTTTCATTGTATATTTAGGTCTAACATACAATCATATTTTTCCAGACTTGTCTACAGTATCAAACATTTTTAATCTGGCCTTGATAAAGAAAAAATATTTTGTTATGATAACCATCGTTTGTGATCTGCTTAACAATATAATCCAAGATGAGTTATTTTGTAAAGACACTGATTCATCAAACTAGAGAACAAAACAGCTAACCAAACAACAGGGTTTAGAAGGATTTGGCCTGATCCAAGGACGAAGGACAAAGTTCTTGACACGTATCTAGTCCCAATGTTCATATTAAATAAAGAAAAAAGAAAAACCTGATGATTCCATTTTATTTTGTTTAATTTCTGTGAAATCGCTAGTTCCGTTCCGATCGTGTCCTCAACTTGCATTCTCTCCATTAAATTATTTATTATCTTTTTCTGTAGATGAAGATATTTCATTGCTTTTATTCTATTTGTGAGAACTTAGTTTTTTGTTTACATGTCTATGTTTTTAAATATATAAATAAAACTGTTGAGGAAGAAAAACATTTTTAACTGGTACGTGAAACTTCGGTCAGATCGAGTTTTAGTGGTGTATATTTTATATGCCTTTTTTCTCTTTGCATAATTTTAACTTACAGCACTTTCCAGAAACTGCAGACAACGATGTAAAAGTAAAAGCATCAGTACGATCATAAAGGTTCGTAAGAAGTCTGTTCTCAAACTACAACTATTACCAGTAAGAAAATCATAAGAACAATCAGTACCCTTTTCCATTGACATCAGAGTGGTGTTACGTTATTAAACCTGCTTCTTACTCATGGTTTCGGCACAATGCAGTTATGATTATATTTTGAAAGGGGCCTGTCGGTCAGATAGTAGTTTAAATCTTAAGATCCCTACTACATGAAATATTGTTTCTTAATAAAAACTGTAGTTATTTTTTTTACAAATAGGTTAGATTAAGAAGAGTGAGTTGTTTGTTTGTTGTTAAACACAAAGCTACATAATGAACTATCTGAGCTGTGCCAACCACAGGAATCGAACCCCGGACAGTAGCTTTATAAGCTCTCAAGTTTTCCTCTGAGCCAGTGAGAGAATGGGGGGGGAGAAGGAGTAAAACTTCCCTTTTTTTTCGAAGGCTTGGCGTTTTTCTTTAAAACTACTTGATTTAATCCTGTAGACTCCCAGTGGAGCATAGGGCCGCAACAACACCTCGCCAACGGACTCTGTTCTGGGCTGCTCTCCTCAGCTGGGTCCACGCCATTCCGGCGGCCTTTGCTTCACTCCTGACCGATCTCCTCCACGTCTGTTTTGGCCTCCCAGCTTTTCTTTTCCCTTGTAGGTTCCATTCCCAGGCCTGCCTTGTAACGTTGTCAGCTGGTTTTCGATCCAGCCCCATTTTCTTTTCCTGATGTCTTGGCTGACTGGGTTATGGTTGGTCCTTTTCCATAGCTCTGTGTTTGAGATCTTCTCTGGCCACCTGATGTTTAGGATGTGTCGCAGGCACTTGTTGATGAACGTCTGTATCTTGTTGGTGATGGTGTTCGTAACTCGCCATGTCTCGGACCCATACAGGAGGACCGCTTTTACATTTGTGTTGAAGATTTTTGAAGGCTTTGGAGTTCCAGATGAGTCGCAGGGTGTTGAACGTGAGCCTTGCTTTGTTGATCCGGCTCCTAACGTCTTTGTCTGCGCCGCCGTCTCTGCTTACTATG